CTACCTATACCTCAGGCAGAAGACTAATATCTACAACATATAATAACTCAATGTGAGACCCCCAATATAAAAGACCTAGTCAAGTAATGGGCAAGTGGAATGAGGAGACACTTCTCAGAAGAAATACACTGGTCAATAAAAATGTTCTACATTTCTGGCTATTAGGGAATTGCAAATTAAAACAACACTGGGATTTCATCTTACTCCAGAAAAAAAATGGCTATCATCAAGAAGTCAAATAATGACCAATACCAGTGAGGCTGTAAAAACAAAGGAACCCTTCTACATTGTTGATTGAAATGGAAACAAGTATAACCACTATGGAAATAAATGTGGAGAGTCCTCAATACACTGTGAATGGAAATTCCACTCGACCCAACTATTCTCCTTCCAGGTACACTCTTGGAAAAGTTAAAGACATCATAGTATCATGATACATACCTATCCATGTTTGTAACAGCACAATTATAATAAATAAATGCTAGAAGTGGCCTAGGTGAATAAAGTAAATGTATTTATACATAATGGAGTACTGGGCCATAAAAGAGGATTAACTTGTGTATGCGGGAAAGTGAACTCACCTTAAGATGACAGTTAAGTGAAATAAGTCAGGCTTAAATACCTGAAGAGGAATAATAGAAGTAGAGAGGCAGAGCTTTTGTAAATGGGAAGGGAACCAAAAGTTAGAGGGATGAGGAAAAGAGAGTACAGGGAAGAGATTTTAAGAGGATTAAGATATGCAATGTACATGTATCAACTCCCCCTAAGAAATGTGATCAGTATGTACCATAAATCATAAATACGACTAACAAAAATTGAAAAAAGAAAGGCCCTAATATTCAAAAAGAATGATAATAATAGTTCATGTATTTTTTCAAGAAATACAGAAAAAGCAATATCTAAGTGTTAAGCATTACATTTGAACTGGATAATGGATTGTGTCTGAATCCCTCCAAACCCTTGGGAAAACCACTTAGGTGAGATATAGAAACAAGCATGTAATTAAAATGAGGTAGACTAAGCACATCATAGGGACACACAACAGCACTGGTGGTAATGGTCATTAAGATTTCCTGCAGGAAATGAAATTTAATTGAGCTCAACAAAAAGAAAAGCAAGAAAAAGAACACTTGAACACATAACTTTCTAGGCATAATTTTCCAGCAAAAAAGGATATCCTGATGAAAGAAATAAAAGAAAAATTATCAAATACATTAAAGAAGTACTGTTAAGGAGTGAGAGTAATTGACACGTTACCAGAAAAATACTGAGACGAGATGGTGGCCTAGACCACTGTAGTCGCAGGATTGGCCCTGAGGTGACTACAGAGATCTTGGGAGACCAACAAAGCAGAAGGTGGTAAAAGGGCATGGCTCCCTCTGGAATTCAAAAGGACAGATTGACCTATCAGTTGAGAAAAAAACTAAATCAAGAAGAGAATATGAAGTACAAGCTTAAGAGAAGAAATTTAGCACAGATTTTAACTGAAATCATGAGGAAGGACATTTTGTCCTAGGGAAAGAAGCCAGCAGGCACCAAGCTGATTTGTTTTGCTTGGTCATAGATTTAAGAGTTCCTTAGTTGTAAATTTTATTGATTTTTCTATAGAAAGAGATTGGGGTATTATTAATAGAATTGATCTATTCTTTATTCATCTTTATTACTGATTTCTACTTTTAACTTTATTAATTCCATTTTTATTCATGTTTTTAGCAGTGACCCTGAACTGAATGCTAAGGTGGTTTATTTTCAGACTTTATTTTAAAATAAATACACTCATGAGTATGCATTTCCTTTGATAAATGTATTAGTAATTATGTAATTTTAGGGTTTTTTGTACAGACATTACACTAAGCACTTTCAATAAATTACCTTATATATGGTTAAGTAAGTCACCCAAGTTTGAACATCCAGTAAAAACATATTTGGAATTTGAACTCAGGGATGACCCAAGAGGGAGGAGAATAATAGCTTTTATATCCCTCCCACAATCATAGAAATGCTCACATGCAGTCAACAATTTTGATTTTGATTCAGTATATGAATTTCTTCTCAAGATGAGTTTTAAACAATTTTCTGGCTTGTGAATTTATTTTTTTAAATAAATTCAAAATATTAATGCTTTGAAATCTATAATGAGACTGGAATGATTTTCAATTTTTACACTGCATAAATATTTTAATTGTGTGAGTATTCTGTGGGTCTCTGAATATTTATATCTGTATCTAACTATCTATCTATATATGTATACACTGTACATATGTGTGCAGTTATGCTTGTTTTCATTACTTACATAAAAATAACGTTAATTATTTAATCAATATCTTCTATGATTTTATATATATTTTGTCTATGTGATCCGCACATTTAAAGGACTATTAATTTCCTTCACTACAATTACATATTTTTAATAGTCATGATTTTTCAATTCTGAAATTAAAGAAACAATCACTTCTTTCAGCTTTAATAAACATCCATTTTCTTGTGTAAAATATATTACATAGTATTATATCATCTTGAAGGATCATAACTTTCATTACTATAAAAATATTCTTTTATGTAGAACTCTTGTCCTCAAATGTTATTTTGTCTCTTTAAATTAGTGAAAACAGGGGCTGCGGATTTAGCTCAGCAGCGTAAGCTCCTGCCTTGCAAGCAGGCAGTCAAGAGTTCGATCCCCGGTACTGATAAAAAGGAAAAAGACAAAAAAAAAAAAAAAAAAAAAAAAAAAGTTAGTGAAAACATTGATTTATGTTTGTAATGTCTTTGTGGCATATAGCCTTGCATTTAATATTTTTAATCTTTCTAGGTGTGTTAGCACTAATTGAATTTTTAAATTAAGTATTACAGTTAAACTTGAAGAAAAATAGAAACCTGTGAGCAATAGCATTCTAAAGGACAAAATAGGAAGGAGAGTTGGAATGAGAAAAATGAATAACCTGAGAGAGGGGAAAGCAGGGGCAAGCAAACGGTTTAACAACAGAAGTCAACCGTGTGGGAGGCTAAGGAAGTCAGGCAAAACGGAGTGTTAAAGTGAAGAATTTCCTGAGTGCATGTGTTTATGTGTGTCTATGTGTGCACGCGCACACACACGCGAGTGTTGTGTGTGTGATTAAGGAGTCATTGGTTACTCTCAAAATAGTTTCCATGTGGTAGTAGAGGCAGGTGTCACATTGTGATGAGATGGTAAATAGATGGGTTTGGGAAATAAGAGCATACAGCAAGCGGAAATAGACAAAAGCTGCAGTAAGCTTGTCTGTAGGACATCAGCAATTAGGCCAGGAGAAAAACTCAGCCATAGGAGAATTCTCAATACGGCCTTTTTTAAGTCACCTATAAATTTTAAGAAAAATATTTTATTTATCTTAGCGTAATATCTTTGACATCAGAGGATAATTTAAAACAAATGATTATAAATCTTACAGTCATATTCAGCCAGATGCCAGTGGTGGCACTCTTCTTTTTCCTGAACTCGTGATGTCACTTTAGTTAAGACATATGCATCACTGGAACTTCATACATTGTTTGAAGCTTGCAAAAGAATCACACTATAATTAAGCATTTAATTTAATTGTAACTTTATACCCAGAAAGACACCAAAACAGTAATATGATACAAGGAAAAAAATCTATGTCTAAGAAAGTTTAAGGGACTCATTTATAAGGACAAAATTTAAAATTTCAAGTAAACAGAATGTGTACTGTATTGTAGTCTTATTGATACCATTTATTTCCTAAAGGTTTATAAAATAAATGTAGTACGTTTGACAATATAATATTTAATTAGACATGTTTTGATATTGTGAGTAATGCATGCATGTTTTTATTAGAAAATGCAAATGAATATGTTATAAATAAATAGATTCTCAGCCTTCTCTACTAGTTGTATTGTTTCTCTTACTTATGATAATAAAAATGCTCTGTCCATTTAAATTCAAATGCAAATAATAAAATAAAACACACAATTTGTTTATTGTTTTTTTATTTTAAAAAGAAAAAAACACAAAAACAAATTAAACAAGCCACCACAACAACAAATGCCCAAAACAATAGTAATAATATGATTTCAAGACCACGTGATAGAAATTTAACAATTGTTGTCAAATTGCATATTGTTATATTCAAAATCTGTTACTCAGATTACCAGATACAGGCATGCAAAGCTGGTAAACAATATGAACACTAACTGTTCCTTTTCTTGAACAAACATAATTAGTAGTACAATTATCTTAGCTATCTTGTCTGTGTATATTTTTTCTTCTCTCTACTTCTTTGCTCTTTTATCCCTGTTTGTTTCTTTTATCCATTAAATATTACCATTCTGTATTTTTATAGATACCTATTCTTCACCTGTAATAATTCCATATTTTATTGAAGGAATGGGGAAAATATAAACATAAGCTACTAGAAAGAGTTTAAGTAGATACATCCTCAAAAAGAAATGTGGCAAACATATTAAAATTTAAAATGAGTACATATGACAGGATCCCATGATCTATTTCTACCCTAATCTACAGATTCCCAGTTTTGTACAGGGAAGCACACTACTCTGTTTATATGGCAATGTTGAAATATCCTAAGTAAATGTTTTACCCATGAAATCTGTAAAATGTATATATGCACTCATGCATTAGTTAACAATGGAATTGTTCTAAGAAATGTATGTCAGGCAATTTTTTTCTTGGAGAATTTCCTAGAACACATCCATTCAAGCCTAGATGGTCCAGGTCAGCACCCCTTGTGACCCCTTGAACCAATGAAGAGATGTGGTAAGTTGAGATGTATGAGGTTGCTGCCTATGTAATATGGCATATTATTTAAAATAAACTGTTTAATATAGGTAGTAGTATATTCTGAAATGATGATAAAGCAATCTATAAATGCATAAGCCAGTTTATTATCATTGCTAAATGTTACGTACAGTGTTATATAATTGTGCTACTCTTTTACATATACATGCTATGTTGCTTTTGTTTTGTTTTGTTGTTTGTTTTTTAACTGGCTTATCACTAGCATTTATCAAACCAGACCTAGGGAAAGATTGAGGTCTGGGAATACATGCATGGTCTTACTGTAGCAAATGTTTAGCCTGCCCTGATTATGATACAATCAGAAGAGCAAGAATATTCGCAGATGCTATGCTTTTATATGACAGCATAGTATATTTGTTCCCACCATCATCACCAAAAATGCTACTATAGTTTGGATTTCGAATGCTTCCCAGAGGTCCCCAGTCTGTGACGGTCCTGGGAAATAGTGGAAACTTTAGGAGGGAGAGACCAATGGAAGATAATTCATTGAAGGCACATCCTTGAAAGGGATATTGGGACTATAACCCCTTGCCCTTCTCTTCATTTCCCAGATGCCATAAGGATAGTGGATATTCTGTCACACCCGCGCACTATGATGTTGTGCCTTTTCACAAGCAGAAAGTGATAGGTCAGTCAACAGTGGACAGAAATCTCTAAAACCATCAGCCCAAATAAACCTTTCTTCCCTACAATTATTTTAGGTATTTTTTCAAGATCACAGAAGGGACACACACACAAACACACACACACTCACAATGCACAGGATGTCACTGTATGAGAGTCACGTTCCAGCTTTTTATACTCTTATGTTATGGCCATCTTTGATGCAGGTCACCATCGCCTGACTGTCCCTGTGTGGCACGTAACTATACTCTTTCAAAACTTGCCGAAGTTTCTATTTGTGTTTTCAAATGTAATTCACTATAAATTTTTAAATATTAAATGGAAAAACTTTAAGGAGAGTGTAAACAGTGGAGATGGACACAGAAATTGAAGTCCCTGATAAACCATGAGAGTAAGAACTATGACAAGTGATGATAACTTCTTTAAGAGGAGAAAAGGAAAGAGAGTAAGCATAAACACTCATGGACAGAAAAGTTTTTATTTGTTTTTCCCAAATTTCTTACATCTTAATAAGATATCACTGTTCATTCACTCACTTTTCAGTCCAGCAAGGCTTTGCTGCCTTCTATACTTTGAAAATACCCTCAGCATTCATTTCCTAGGGCTGCCGTAACAAATTACCAGAAGAACCCAGCCTCTCCCTGTGAGCCAGCGTCAGTCACAGGCTGCCTAGGCCTCTGGAAAACAAGAAACCAGCACCTTCCTGGCTTCCCCCGCCCCCAATCCGCATAAGCAACCAGCTGATTTGGAGAGACACAGGCTAAGTTAACAGCTATTGAAGATAAAAATTAAAAAAAAAGAAAACCTTAATGCTTGTAGTGCTCAGTTTTTGATTGACTTTGCAGGCTTAAAGCTGGTAGTTTGATCATCTATTTAGATAACAATATGTAATATAGCAACTATGGGGGAATCTCCTTGTGAAAGTGGTAGCCATTGTTAATATCCTATTATCTTGTTTGAAAGTCCTTCATCATTTTCATTGTTTTGTTTGATTTTATTATATTTGACAGCGTGGGCAGGTATTTCAAAGATAACAGGTATATGATGGTAACAATTTTTGATTTCCTATTACCTTGTTTTGAAGTCTTATATCACTTTCATTCTTTTGTTTTGATTAGAGGTATTCTGTTTTGTTTGATTTTATTATGTCTGCTTATGTGAGCAGCTATTTTGAAGATAGCAAGAGGCATTATGGTAGCCATTGTTGATTTCCTATTATCTAATTTTGAAATCCTGTATCACTTTCACTGTTTTGTTTTGAATGGTTTTATTGTTTTATTTTGCTTGGTTTTACTCTCTTTAAAATAAAAAAAGACTAAGACTTTGAAAGTGAAAAGCAGTTAATCTAGTCTCTCATTAGTTGAACTCAAGTAAAAAAATATACACCCGCACCCACCAAAAAACTACCATATGCTGAGTACCTTAGAGGTCAGAAGTCCCAGGCTCTAGGAGAGAATCCATTCTTTTCTCTGAATTTCTGGTTGATTGTAGGTTTTTCTCTCTTATAAGGATACTCATTATTTGATTTTAGAGTGACTCTATTCCAAAATGACTTCATCAAGAGAATGTTAGCTTAATTTTATCTGTAAAGATCCTTTTCCAAACAATATCCCATATTGAGATCCCAGGGGCAGATATAGTTATATCTCTGAAGGAGTCATGATTAACCCATATCCATTATTTTTTCTTTTGATAAGGTCTTAGCTTCCTTACTTTTATATTTGAAAATTATATAATTTTAGATATTGAGGGAACTTCTACACTCACATAAAGAATAATACCAAGTGTACCAAGTGCACAAGGATTAAGGGAAGTTAGGCATTTCAAATATTATTTGGGATGTTATATATCAATGAGAAAATGAGAAGAGGATAAGTTCTGAACAAACAATTATCTTGACAATAAACCTTGATTATATGAAGAAGATGATTATGCTGAGGATGATTACGCTAAGGACATTGAAAATTATAAAATATTAAAAAGCCTTCACATGCAAAATAATCTTTGTAAAATTAACAGGATTTTTTGGCATGTATAAACAGGGCAAGAAGGATCTAATTGTCCTGATAATAGCCTTAAAAGTTGGTGGTGTGTGTGTGTGTGTCCTAGGGGTTGAACCTGGGGCCCCACATATATGAAGCATTCAATCTGCCACTGCACTATAATGCCATATGGTAAATTAAATTATCCTTTCTATTCTGCTCAGACTGCAAACAATTAAAAAAACAGTTACAAGGGGAAGAACTTGGTATTGGTAATTATATTAACGTCAACCACCTGTCTTCAGTTATTTTCTCTTGGATCTTGTATCTCTTCTTTGGTGGGTTACAAATTCATGACAAGTAGAACTTAGAATCTAATACTTTTTATCTCCCATTAGTATTACTGAGCAAATCCTCGTGGGACAGAAATATTTACTTCATTTGAACAATAAGGAAAATAGGATCGACCCATACAAGATGATTTTTCTATTGTTAGAAAGAGAACACTATGTCTTCTGGTTCACTGAGCCATGGATTCTGGAGAGACAGAGGAAAGCAAGGAAAAACAGGGGTCTGGCAAGTACACCAACCCCAGGAGAGAAGAGAGACCAAGGGAGAAACCACACTGCCTCTGGAACAGATGCTCTAAGCACTTACTGTGCTTCATTTTTCTCATAGATCAAAATAATCTAAAGATCAAACAAAATAATAAAATCAAAGTCCTTCAAAGTTTCAAAATAATGAAATCAATGGTCTTTGGAGAGTGGGAAATTATTTTGTTACCAAGCCAAACACACTGTAACCAAGAACTGTAAAGGATCTTAGAAGCAAGCCTATGAGTAGTTGTAACACTTCACCAACTCACCAGCCAGTCCTCTCTAATGCATTTATTGTACTGCCCACTCTTCTGTTTCACTTCCATTTTGAAAATAAATTGTGAAGCTATTGCTTTACTCCCCTGCTCAATCTACATATCAGAAGGGAGAGAAAAGAAAAAAGAAAGAAACCTGGGTAGCTGAGAATGGTTTTAAAGGAATTATAAATCAAAACGATTGCTCCAGGTCACAGCTGAAGATCAATAACAACACGCTTTATTTACAGGTCTGAAAGAGACAGCAGGGAAAAAGAAAATCTATCTCAGCTCTTTATGTGCAGCTGAGCTCTACAAATAACACGCTGAAAGATGGAGAAAACACAATGAACTCCGTTGCTCCATTTTGTCTTCTTTTTCTGATCATATACTACTAATTCTGCTAAGGTGTTTTGTGGAACACAGTAGGAGAAACAGCTTCACAGCCATGTGGCCAATTTTTCCAAGAAAGTGCAGAAATAGGGAGTTTTCTCTCTTAGCACCTTCCAGGTTTCACAGTACCTATAATATATAGATTATAAAGGATTCAGGGGCCATAGTAATTCTAGATACGGAGAGATGGGGAGACGCCTCAAGAGCTTTACTGTGCATTCGACAGAAGGTTGTTTATCAGCAATATTGTGATAAAAGCAATAAAATAATCTGATTTAATAACATGATACAATAATAATACTAAATAATTGTATAACTATTATAATAATATAGCTCTGGTATGCAAAGATAGGGAGAGAAAATTATTCCAGGTTATATTCAGTGAATCATAGTAACTCAAATAGCCTTCAGTGAGAATGGAAAATACTTGGCTTTTATTTAAGAGTACCTGAATGATAAGCAATAGGAACAAAAGAGCATACAATTTAAGAAAGTGAAAGTTATTTTTTGAAAGAGAAAAAAATTAATAAAAAATTTCAAAACAAGATAGTAGGAGAGTAACAGTGAGTATAGATTGCATATTGTTATCTTCAAAGTAGTTGCTCATATTACAAGATAAAGGCATGAAAATTTTATTAAGTGATACAGGCACAAACCCTTATTTTCAATTAACAAATAGAAATTAGTAGTATAACTATCTTAACTACCATGTATATTTTTTCTTTTTCCTTATTTCTTTTCTCTTTTCCCCCATCCCAGCTTCTCTTTTCTTTTGAACAGTTTCTTCCCATTTCACAATGTCTATTGTATACCTTGGATCTCATTTACTCTTTCAGATTCTTCCCACTAGAGAGACAGTATGATGTTTACACATGTGAGTCTGATTTAACTGACTTATGAGTATGGTCTTGAGTTGTATCCATTTACTTATAGAAGTCTCAAGTTTATGCTTTTTTGATGGCAGAGTAGAAGTCCATTGTATCTAACTACATCTTTTTATCCATTCCTCTGTCGATGGGCATTTGGGTTATTTCAGAGATTTAGCTAACTGATTTTGATAACATCGGAGAACTTTTTCCCTGGAAAATGTTTTCAGTGACTCCTAATCAGATCAAAAATCAGGTGAGCCCTCCAACCTGCCACCACTGCTTAAAACCTGCTATGACAAAATTCACAAGGTAACCAATCCAAAAGGCAGCAAGGTTTATCTTTTCTCATGTTTTCAAATGTGTCCGTCTGTGGTTGGTTGGCCCTATTGCATTGGCCTATGGCAATACAGTACATCATGGTAAGAGCACGTGATAGCAGAAGTCCACTCACTTCATGGGATCTGGAAAGGACAGGAGCAAAGGCTGTGATCATGATATCCCCTAGGAAGGCATGCTTCAGCCACCTGTCTTCTTTCTTCTAGTCCCCCACATCCTAAATGTCCACCCACTTCCAATAGTGCCACAGATGGCTGACCAAGCCTTT